TGTGTGTGTGTGTGTGTGTGTGTGTGTGTGTGTGTGTGTGTGTGTGTTGTGTGTACGGGTGCCTACAGAGGCAAGAGGAGAGTGTGCACTGCTCTGGAGCTGAACTTACAATCAGTTGTGACACAGGAGGCTGACAGCTGAATTCTGGTCCTCTGCAAAAGCAGCAGCAAGAGCTCATAGCCACTGAACCATCTCCCCAGCCCCTCTAAAGATATTTTTAATTGTTACAATTTGGGATACTTACAGATAAAGGCTAAATACCTTACAATGCCCAGGCAACCTTCCTATAACAAAGAATTATCTGGCTCCAAACGTTACAAGGTCCAGAGACCTTGAGTTAACAGCAGTGAGTTTCAAACCAGTTTTCTCTAAAGCCACACAGCTGATGAGTGGCAGAATTTGGGGTTAGGTCAATTTCCTAACTTGCCTGCTGTGGCCCCTATGCCCTGCACCCACTGGTCCAAGGCATCCCTTTGGTGAAACGGCAGCCCCAGCATCTTCCCCTTCTTTAGACTCTAGCTCATAGCAAATGCCTCTGAAGGGACCAGGGTGCTTGTTTAAACACAGAACTGCTCTGATTGCATCAGGAGGGAAGACCTGATGACATCAATTGCTTATGCCTCCCACCTCTCTCCGACCCTGATGTGGGATTCTCCTCTGTATGCTGTGAATACGATTGGTTAATAAAGAAAGCTGGCTTGAGCCTATGGCAGGGAGGAGCAGAGGTAGGCAAGGAAGATAAAACTGAATGCTGGGAGAAGGAAGGGCGGAGTCAGAGAGAAGCCATGTAGCCCCACCAGAGACAGACGCCAGAACTTTTAGCCAGTAAGACACAGCCACGTGGCCATACACAGATTAATAGAAATGGGTTAAATCAATATGTAAGAGTTAGCCAATAAGAAGCTAGAACCAACAGGCCAAGCTGTGTTTTAAATAATATAGTTTCTGTGTGGTTATTTGGTTCTGGGCAGCCCTTCAACATGACCCCAAGTCCTTTAGTTCCGTAGATCATAGTTTAAAGTATATGTGCCCTCCAAAGAGAAAAAACCAGGTCCAGAGAAGTAAAGGAGCTACACACATCTAGACCCTGACCCTCATCTCTTTGGAATGGACCCACACTTAGACACCAATATAAAAATGCTTGCTGCCTTCCCCTCCTGGTTCTTCCTAGGAAGAAAGGGCTGACAGTTACTTCCTGTGAGAGGCTGTCAAAAAACCTCAGGAATGCAGGGGAGAGGGGCCAGGCAGAGCACTCTAGGAACCAGCCTGTCCCTCTAGCCAGCCTCCTCAGAGCGTGATCCAGGCCACATGTGCTGGCTTTGATAAGCAGCCCAATATATCCAAACTGGCTGTAGCTGTGTTCCATCCAGGGGAAGAGCCAGCCCCTCCTTAGCTGTCATCCTCTGCTTGGCCTGAAACTAACTGAGGGTTCAGGGCTAAGACCAGAGAGAAACTCAAGTCCACATGGCCAGTCCTGAGCCACTGACCAGAGTGAAGGACATGGACTACCTCGTCCTAAAGGAGAGGGAAAAGGACGGGGATGGGGAGGAGAGAGCCCCTGGGTCAGCTAAGAAACCTGATTACCACTGAATCTTGTCACCAGCTAGCCTTGCACAAGGGGCTCTGTCACCGGCTAGCCTTGGACAAGGGACTCTGTCCCCGGCTAGCATTAGACAAGGGACTCTGTCACCGGCTAGCCTTGGACAAGGGACTCTGTCACCGGCTAGCCTTGGACAAGGGATTCTGTCACCGGTTAGCCTTGGACAAGGGACTCTGTCACTGGCTAGCCTTGGACAAGGGACTTTGTCACCGGCTAGCCTTAGACAAGGGACTTTGTTTTCTGAACTTTCATTGCTTCAACTGTAGAGTCTGGCTCTATGTTCACTTAGTGTACACTAGCAGAGCTGTAAGAATTGTTCATAATAGTTGCTCTGCTACTAACAGTAACAAGACATCATCCATCCCTGTCCCCATCTATCTGGGGTCCTGCGTTCCTCCATCCCTATCTAGCTGAAGTCCTGTGTTCCTCCATCCCTGTCCCCGTCTAGCTGGGGTCATGCGTTCCCCATCCCTGTCCCTGACTAGCTGGGGTCCTGTGTTCCCCATCCCTGGCCCTGTCTAGCTGGGGTCCTCTGTTCCCCCATCCCTGTCCCTGACTAGCTGGGGTCCTGTTTTCCTCCATCCCCGTCTAGCTGGGGTCCTGTGTTCCCCATCCCTGTCCCTGACTAGCTGGGGTCCTGTGTTCCCCCATCCCTGTCCCTGACTAGCTGGGGTCCTGTGTTCCCCCATCCCTGTCCCTGACTAGCTGGGGTCCTGTGTTCCCCCATCCCTGTCCCTGACTAGCTGAAGTCCTGTGTTCCTCCATCCCCGTCTAGCTGAAGTCCTGTGTTCCTCCATCCCTGCCCCATCTATCTGGTCCTATGTTCCACACCTCCCCCCCACACACACACACACTTTCTCTTTCTTTAGAGAATGATCTGGCTGTTCTTTTCCTTCTGGTTTCTTGAAAAGCCTAACCCAGAGGCAGCAGGACGAAGGCAGACAGCTCCGGGTGTCCTTTCTGCCATTTCCCTCCTCCACACCCACCATGATCCTCCCTCTGCCACCAAGGAGCATCATCCATCCCTGCCTTGCCAATACAGAGGCAGACTCTTGGTTCTTGAGTGACTGACTTCTGTACCTTGCACCCCTGCCCTGCTATGATTTGGATGGGAAATGACTCCCACAGGCTGATGTGTTTGAACGCTTGGTTCCCAGCTGGTAGTGCTGTTTGGGAGAAGTCAGGGAACCTTTCTGAGAGCTCAGCCCCACCTTCTGCTCTCTCTCTCTCTCTCTCTCTCTCTCTCTCTCTCTCTCACACACACACACACACACACATACACACACATGTCCACATGTCTGCATATCTCTGTCTCTCTTTCCTAAGTGAGGACTAAATGAGATCACTCTGCTTCCTGATTGTCATGCAGACCCTGTGCCCTGGCCACCATCCTTTCTCCACCATGGTGGGCTGTACCACCTCTGAAACCATAGCCAACAAAACAAGTCCTTTTCCCCCTAAGTTGCTCTTTGTCAGGACACTCTATTACAGCAGCAGAAAAGTAACATGGCCTCCTTTGTGCTCGCAGTCTCCTTGTCCCCTTTCTCTGCTTCCCTAGGCCTCTCTGTTGCTGCCCTTCTTGTCCATCATACACTCTTATCCCGGCTACACACACCCCTGCAATCCCTGCTTCCCCGGTTTCTGTGGCTATCCACATACAGCCCCTGCCCTGTTCAACACCAGAATACAGAGAAATGAAGGAATTTAATGTCAACAAGTTCACAAAATCCCAACTTGTTTCTCTGAAGGGTGAGGGAATAGAGAGAAGGGGGATAAACCCCGTGGGAAACAGTCACCTTTTTCCACATCTCATCCCTCTTGCTGTTGAAGTCGCCTGTGCCTGGAATGTCCACCAGGACAACCCCTTCCGGAATCAGTGCAGATTTGGGAAGAATCACTTCCACGTATTTGATCAAGGGCCAGATTTGTGTTTCAGCTGATCCTCCATCCCAGTCGCTCCTCTGAGTCCGGATGTAAGGGTCCAGCTTGACAGATAGCTCTCCTGCCTGAAGAGAAATGACAGGTTGCACGGACCAAGCACGCTGAGGGCTCTTTAACCTGCCTGTGATGCAGAGTCGTTGAAGGAAGGAATGCTGAGGGACAGTAAGAAGTCCTCAGACAACAGACACCAGGAAGCACAGAATGGTCTCTTCAAGGACCTGCGAGCCTGTGAAGACTCCAGAGACCACCAAGTTCAAGCTCCTTAACATAGTTGGGGCTAGAGAGGTGGCTCAGTGGATAAGAACACTTTCTACCCAACCAGAGTCCCAGATTTCAGATCCCAGCATCCACACTGAGCTGCCCGTAACTCCAACTCCAAGGAGTCTTTCTCTCGGTGTCTCTATTTCTCTCTCTCTCTCTCTCTCTCTCTCTCTCTCTCTCTCTCTTTCTCTCTCATACACATACACACACAAACATGCACACACCATAGAGAAAGACACACACAAATAAAATAAAATAAGTAAATATTTAGAACTGGGGCTGGGAATGTAGCTCAACTTATAGAGTGCTGGCCTAGCGAGCAGAAAGTCCTAGGTTTGGTCGCAGCACTGCATAGACTGAGCGTGGTGGGGCATGCTTACAGGAGACAGGAGGACCAAGGGTTCAAGACCATCTTTGGCTACACAGTGAGTTTCAGGCAGTTCAGAATATAAGAAAGCTCCCTAACTTTCAGATGATGCAGCCCAACACAACCCGAAGAAGACTCCAGAAAAGTTGTAGGGATGCTAAATTTATCTCCCAGATTCCATTTGCTTCTAAAATTGATGCAGTTTTCTAAATTTTGCTTAGAGCATATTTTCTCCACATGGCAAAAGGCAACTGCGAAGAATTTAGTTCCTGGAAGTTTCATGTATAATTATAGAAAATCAATCATGACCTAATGATCATATTTTACAGATTAAAGATTGATCAGAAATTTGATCTTTAAGAATTTTTTAAAAAAATTTCCAAGTAGATATACATAAATATATATATAAATAAATCCTTCCTCCCCACCCCCATATGTGTGTGTTTGTGTGCATGCTTGATATGTGTGCTTTTCCAGAATATTTCAATAACAGTGAGTGGGATTGGGGGAAGAGGGGGTTTCCAATCTACTGTTCCTACTTATATACATCTGGGAACAAAGACAGGACAGTAATTCTCAACTGGACACTTCAGAGAGCAGAAAAGCTACAATCCATGGTGGTCATTGTTGATCAATGTCTATAGAAAGGTCCAGAAAGAAAGCAATAGAGAATGACATATACATGTAAGTTCACACATATGCATGCCTCAGGGCACATGTGGAAGTCAGAGGACAACTTGCAGGAACCAATTCTATTCTTGCACCCTGTGGGTCTCAGGATCAAATTCAGGCTGTCAGGCTTGACAGTCAGTACCTTCACCTGCTGAGCCATGTCCCTTGGCCCACCATGGGAAACCTAGGTTCTTTAATGTGCAATGTTTATAAGTTGAGTGTTGGTTTCACAGAGAGTTTGTCTCAATAAAGATTCTGAATCTCAGCATAATAGAACGCATGCCGGTTCTGAAACTGGATGGGCATCCCAGGCTTCATCAAGCCAGCCTGGATGTCCTTCTGTTTGGGGAGCCAAGGGAGTGAGGTTGATCTAATAATCAGGGCAAATCAGATTGTTGCCTTTTATAGCTAAGAAGAGCCACTCAGCCAGTTCTGAACAATGAAATCCACACGCAAAGTTAACAATGGTGTTTCTGGGAACGCTTCCACTTCCTGAAATGGGAGATGTGTTTGTTGCCAACATGCATCTACTTCTTTCCATGAGACGAGCTGCGACAGCAGGTATCTCAGCAGCAACCTTATGACGAAGAGGCAGCAAGCATCACGGAAGGCCAAGGAGACCACAGAGATGTTGAATTGGACACGGCTGAGTCACTAAACCCTCCTAATTGCCTCCTAATGAATAAACTTCATTTGCTTAAGCCTTTATATATATTTATAGTATGCTATGTATGATATAATATAATATATAATGAATACATATATACTCATTTTCACTCAAAGCCGTCCCAAATTAATTCTCATCTGACTGTAGTCTTTTCGAGCATAAAAAACTTCATTTGGAAATCAAGGTTTACCATCTATAGGCATAAAGAAAGAAAGATAACTTGGATGGTAGCTAATTCCGATTTGGGTAACAGTTTATTTTTCGATAAAAAACACTGTACCTTCGACAATTCCCCTTGACTTATTCCACTGTTATGTTTAAGACTAACAATAAAGAAAAATAAATCTTGACATTACCTCCTCTGCCTTAAGAGTGATGGTTCTGCAGGTGGGAATCCTTGCTCTGGGCTTCGTCCTTAGCAAATCCTCATAGGGCCTCCGTTCTGCCCCACGGCCGTACAGCATCTGTAGCTTCTGGGCTGCTTCTTCTGCTGCGTCGTCCCTGGCCCACATATCTGCGTCTTCTTCCCTGGGCCCGTCCGCCCTGTGCAGGAGCATAGTCAGGTCCTTCAGCTCCGCCTTCCACTCCTGCCAAGGCAGAGCATGCCACACTGCTCATGACAGACTCGGGGGAGGGGATGGTAACAAGGGGAAGAGCAGGGGCCCAGGGCCCCGAGGGGGGTCAGAAGTTGAAAACAGAACCCTAAGTCAGCTACCCTAAACCCCTTGTCCAGTAAATGGTTGTCTTCATCAACTTGATACAGCCTGGGGTAATCTGAGACAAGGTCAAAGGAGGAACCGTCTCACTCAGGTCGGTCTGTGGCCATGTCTGTGAGGTACTGTCTTGATTTTCTGAATGACAGAAGGGAGTCAAGTCCACTGTGTGTGATGCCATTTCAGGGCAAATGGTCCTGAGCTATACAAAAAGCAAGCTGAGGATGAGCGTGGGAACCAGCCAGGGAGCGAGCCAACAGGCGGCAGTGCTCCAAGGCTTCTGTCTTTGAGTTCCCGCCCTGACTTCCCTCAATGACAGACTGTGACCTGGAAGCACAAGCCAAATAAACCCTTTCCTCCCCTCAGTTCGTCTTTGTCATGGTATTCGTCACGGAAACAGAAAGGAAACAAAAACAATGGGGACGCAGGGGCTTAAAGAGGGGCATGGCTGACCCAAGGACCTGGGCCAGAACCCCCATCTCACCCTGCAGAATATTTTCACCGAAATAGGTTTCGTAAGATGAACGTTCTATAGTAATCTCTGTGTGTGTGCATACACATGTGTGAAGGCAGGGGTTGACATCAGATGTTCTCCTCAATCACTTCACCGTATTTATTTATGTGTTTGTCTGTTTGAGACAGCATCTCTCACTGAACTGGGAGCTCACCAGTTCAGCTGGCTGGCAAGTGCCAGCCGTTACCTCTGTCCCCCCAGGGACAGACTCACCTTGCTTTTTACTCTCCACAGATGTTGAAGGTCCAAACTTAAGTGTTCATGTTTACCCGGCAAGCACTTTACCAACTGAGCTATCTCCCCAGTCCCTGTGCGGCATTTATAATGATAGAATTGTAATCTCTGGTGGTGTAGAGAGGAAAACGTCATGGAAGAGAGGAAAAGAAGAAGAGACATGAGAGACGATAAAAGATCAAAGGGAAGATCTGCTGGCCTACCTGATCAGACAGAAGGTGGATTTTGGCCTCATACTGTTCACAGCAGCCAGAGCTCACTTGGACGATGCATGACGTGCAAATGCTTTCTCCAGACACGGGCAGAAACATCGCTTGCTGGATGAGGGCATTGATCAGAGAGCTCTTGCCGGCTCCCGTGCTTCCCAGGAACCCTACGTAGATCGGCTCCAGCGGCGGTTTCTCAATCAAGGCGAGAAGCCGGTTTCTGCATCCGTTTCAGAGTGCACAGGAGTATGAGCAGAAGAACACCAGAACAGAATGCAAAGAAACTAAGGTCCGATCCTGGGCAACCCCCTATATCCTTCCTTTCTTTGATGAAGGGATAAGACTGCTCCCTACTTTCTACATAGACGTGGGCTGGGGAGCAAACAGGACTAGCTAAACATGCTTGGTAAGGAGAATTCTCCACAATGTTATACTGTCCACATAGATGTGAGACATCCTTGTTTGTGTCCCATGTTCTCGTCTCTAATAAAACTCACGCAGAAAAGTCTGAGGAGCAATCCGGAGTCCTGTGAGCAAGGTCAACTATGTCATTGACTCGACTGAGGTTGTTTGAGCCAACTCTGCACGGACAGTTGATTAACTCAGTGACACATAGTTTGGCTGGGTTTGGAGCGTTTCCCCTTATTCACAGTGTGACTTTGCTCCATGGCTTGGTCTCTCTGAGCATCAGTTTCAGTAAAAATGGGACAATCACAGGAGAGTAGCTGACAACGGTGGTCACACAACAAATGGCTACTGTCAGTGCTTAAAAACAAACAAACAAAACCCCAAACAAAATAGCCTGAAAGAAAGCCTCCAGCCATAGGAATTTTTTTCCTGTCCTTCTGTGCTGTTTCTAACTGAGAGCACTTTGTTTCTCCTGGTGGGGGTGTGGCATCGGATTGGAGGGTGCAGGTTCCAGACTCACATGAGATACTTAAGTCCACTGGGAATGCTCTCCTCCAGGAAGACAGACTGAATCATTTTCTGATAAGTGTTGCTCAAAATCCTCCTGGTCCGAGACTCCAGTTTTTCATCTGGTATCAATAGAAATGGGTTATCTGAGAGTGTATCTGGCAGAGAAAGAATGCCAGGACCCCAGAGGAGGCTACTGAATCTTGCAGAAAAGGAAGAGAACTCAGCAAAACGAGACGTCAGTTAAACCAGCGAGCGAGCTATCTGCTGCTGGAGGTAAGTGCTCGTCAACAGGCTGTGTTGATTCTGATCACCTCCCTCCAGAGACTGGCGCACTCTGCACTCCCTTCACACTTTCTAGAGCCTTCTCTCCTGCGGATTCTGTATAAATATCCACCAAAGCACCTAGCTAACCATCTATCAACTGTCTTCTCATTCAGAAAAGGTTATTTTGAAAACAGAACAGCCTGGATATAAAGGTTACATATCTCTGCGGAGATACTAAGGAGCAGGTGCTTGCGGAGATGCTCCCTTGCCTTCGGAACTTTCCATCTTTCCCTCCGAGTGTCTGCACCTGTCTGTGAAAGGCAGCGTCATGTTGCCACAGCCACACCAGCCTTTCCCAACACTCACATTCCTTAAGAGCACTTTGCTCCGCAGAGGGAAATGCTTGGAATTGCTGGTCTCGATGTGACCTGCGTCTCTTCTTCATGGGTTCTTTAAACAGATCACAGTCAACTAGGATAAACAGAGGACATAGAGAATTACAGACTGAGGGCGGGCAGAGGATCCTGGCCTCACCTCTGCCAGTGCACACAAGTTGAAGGCCTCAGAGCACCCTGGCTAGCTCTGCCTGCTCTGAGGGGTTGTCTCAATTTAGAACCTAATTCTCAGGGTCACTGCACCTGTTGTACCTTAGATCGGTTACTTTTGTGTTATCTGTGATAAAATCCTGACAAAAAGCACCCAAGGAAGGAAGGATTTATTTTGGCTCATGTGACAGGAGCACAAGGCAACTGGTCACACAGTATCAGCAGTCAGGACGTAGGGAGTAATGTATACACAGCTCACTTCTGTCATCGTATTCAGTCCGGGACCTGGCATATGGACTGGTGCCTCCCACATTAGGTTGGGTCTCACCTCGTATTCAGCCCAGAACCCTGGCATATGGACTGGTGCCTCCCACATTAGGGGGGGGTCTCACCTCAACCCAATCTAGGAGCCACTCACAGACATGCTCTTAGACTTGTCTCCATGTGATTCTGGGTCCTGGAAAGCTCTCTCTCTCTCTCTCTCTCTCTCTCTCTCTCTCTCTCTCTCTCTCACACACACACACACACACACACACACACACACACACACCATCACACATCTGGTTCCAACATTCCTCTCCACATGCAAACTGCTATTGCATATATATTCTCAGAAACCAAAGTATCTAGATACTGTCCACCAAGTTTAAGCCTTAGGAAATCCGCAGGGATCAGACAGGCCTTTCAGACTTCCACCAGAAACAGAACAGAGGGGAAAGCAAACAGGTAACCACGGCAAGTGTCTTCTGCTAAGCCTCTGAGTCCTTCCTCATCTGTAAACCAAGAGGCTGGTCAATTAGAAGCACTGACACAGTGTGAGGGGTTCCCTATACAATGGATGCCTTCCAGCTGGGCCTGGGGTACATGACTGTACCCCCAGCCACTCAGGAGGCTGAGGCAGGGAGATCGTGGCATCTAGACCAGTCTGGGACACCTACTAAGAGTTTATCTCAAAATGAAAGGTTAAAATCAGGATTGGGAAGTGGTCTAGCAAGTAAAGTGCTTATGGCACAGCATGAGGACCGGAGCCCAGTTGCCAACACCTACGTAAAAATTATGCTGGGCCAGCTTTAATCCCAGCATGACGGAGGCAGAGACAGGCCGATCTCTGGAGCTCCATGACTCTAACCCAGTGCTCCTAGGGCTTGCTGGTTACCAGCCTAGCTTAGCTGATAAGTTCCAGGTTCAGTGAGAGACTCTGTCTCAAAAAAAAAAAGGTGGACTACAATCACAATACATTATATGTGTGTATGAAATTAAAGATAACAATGTTCTAAAGTAGAAAGTGACGATGATGTCACAGGCCTTTGAAAATGCTGGAATAAAGTCTGTTAAATGGTACAAACAGGCAAATTGTATTCTGTGTAAATTTTTTGTCGATAAAGATTTTTATAAAACTTAAAAAAAGGTGAACAGCAGCCGAGGAAAACAGCCTACATTTAACTCTGACTTCCAAATGTATATTCAAACATGTGCACACCCACCCACAAGCACATGTGCACACATATAAATACACACCCACATGAACACATGCAAACACATACACTGTTCCTACATACACAAGTTGAAAATTAAAAAGGGGGATGGGAATATAGCTCAGTGGTACTGATTGCTTAACTAGCGTGCTTGAAGTCCTGGGTTCAACATCAATACCACAAAAGGATAAAATAAAATATAATATTATAAAGTAAAAGATGCCCTTTGGTTAATAAATTGGAGAATCACCCCCTGCCCCATGCTTCTTCCCCTACAGATATTAGCAGCTGCTTCCTTAAGCAGGAGAAAATAGAAAGCAGGAGATCTTTGAAGTCTTCAGGAGTCATTCACTCACCTACATGATGACTTGATTATGAGGTGGAAGGCTGGTAGGGGCCCTAAACCTAAGGAAGGCTGTGCTTTAGATTTGGAGAACACACCTCATTAGTGTTGCCTGGCTAGAAAGGGGGAATAGCTTGGTCTCTGGGGCAAAAGTTTCTGGAAGTGATCCTAACCCAGTGCTCCTAGGGTTTGCTGGTTACCAGGGAAAGAGCCATGGAGTGATCTGGAACACCTGGTCCCAGGAGATGCCACTCTGAACTCATGTAAAGAGCGAATACAAGGCCCCAGTGCTGAGTATGGTCTAAGAAGGTCAGGCTCACTGATGGGCTGTTGAGACACTTCAGTGGGGACCTAGGGTAGCAGCCTAAACAGAAGCCCCAGCTTGCATCACTGGGCTCCAGATGTGAGCCTCCCACACGTCACGCACAGCCTTCCACCACCACCTCTTCAGTCTTGCATCTCCCAGAGCAGATTCTGCTGCCTTCTGGAGACAGCTCATACGCCACAGAAGGTTCCAGTGCAGAGCCACACATGTGCCAAAGCTTGAACGGCTGACACCTCATGCTTCTGCTGTGACAGATGAAAAGCTGTTCACTACATCCTTCTGTCCCAGGAAGTGACTGATCTAACTGCAAGCATGCATCCTGGCTCAGCTTCAGGACTGCAGAACTAAATACCAAGTAGTTGCTGGCTCTGTGGCTTCAGTCAGAGAGCAAGAGGCAGAAAAGAAAAAAATATGCTATTCAAAAGCCTGGGACAGTTGTAGGCCAAACACTAAAGACAAGTAAGCAGCTCGGAATGCCAGGATGTATGCACAGTCATCTGCAAAATAATATAGAAGGATGTCTACTTTGTAACTCAGGTATTCTTGTGTCAACAATGTTCGGGCAGTCTCTTAACCATACGCATCAAACAAGGAACAAACCCATCTATCGAGAGCCCTCATTTCAACTTTATAAGACTCGGCAATTAATCTGGTATGAGTGGGAGCTTGGGGTAAGAATTTAAATAAAATAACAGGATTACAATTCTTTTCTCAGTTCCAAAAATGGAAAACCACCTGGAAAGGATAAAATATTCCATCTTGGATTCACACCATGAATGGGTCTATTAACCTGTAGCTGGAGTGAACTGGCCTGAACATGGACCATGGTTCTTATCCCCTACAATGGCTTGGCCGTCCCCTTGTCCTGTTCCAGCTCCATTGAATTATTCTAGTAAAGAGCAAGAGGGGTGGATGGAAGGAAGCAGGCAGGGGGTGTTGCTTTTGAAAACTGATCCTCGAAAGATGCAGCTCTACAGTCAATGTGAACCATTGCTAAAACAAAGGATCCCCTCTTTAGCTCTGAGCTCAGCCCAAGGGACCCAGAAGTTGCAGAGATTTTTGCTTGTGTGTCCTGTCAGATTTCATGTGATGGCTGCTATCCACACAGACCTGGAAATATTGGTTCCCCTTCTCTTAAGGAAGCTGTTTCCATAGTGACAAGGAGGATTTTGCTCCTCGGTTCTGAAAACAAGGATGATTTGATATACCCTTGTTCCAGTACCTGGGAGCTGCCCCCTCTGCTTCCTCAAAGAGGCACTTGCTGTGGCCCAAGAGATCTTCCACCAGCCCACTGAGGCAGGAGGCTTGTCCACACTGACTCCAATGGACTCGTCCTTCAATAAGACTCTTCCTAGGCGCATCTCTCCCGTTCTGAGAAGAGCCACCTGTTAGTATTCCAAGGGCCTCACCTTGCCGCCTTAGATTTCAGAGAGTCCTAGCTTGTGTTCTAGAAACTATTTTTAAGGTAGGAAGCCTCACACACACAACTGATCATCAAGCAGCTCACTTTGTTATGAACAGACTACTTTAGTTACTGTTTTTAAAAACTGACAGCCGGTTCCTACTAACTTGCCATTAGAAAACAGCATCCAACTAAAGAGCAAGGAACGCCAGCTGTGGGCACAGTCTCAGTGTTTGAACAGACAACAGTAGCCAGGCCCTATTTAGGGTCATTTCAGGAGTGTTACCTGAGTGTGGCATCACACCCGCTGAAGCCTCCATTTCTGCCATTTCCTGCTAAGTCAGTTGCTCCTTCTGTGTGCTTAGGAATACCAGCCTGAAAGGATAAAGAGAGGAAGGATGCACACATTAAAGGTACAAAAAGCAGCCGGGTGGAGTAACAATCCCACTTCTTGAAAGACTGAAACAAGATAATCACAAGTTCAAGGCCGGCCTAGGCTCCACAGCAAGACCCTGTGTCTCATTAAAGAATAAAAGCACACGCCTCCAAAAGTGAGAATACATAAATATGCTTGTGTTTTATGTCTTCCACTAACTTCCAGAGAGCAGGGAGTCTTCTCACCTCTCTTTGAAACCCTCCCCATGCCTCACGCATCACCCATTGATAATAGATGCGACAAAGATCAGTGTCTGATCATTGGTTCTCCATCACACACGTTATCTGGGGAGGTTTAATTTGATATTGCCTGAGATCTTTAGAACAACTCATTCTGAAATGAGAATAAGCCTCTGGTGACCAGAGCTACGGACGTCAAGTTCTACACACTGGCTGCTTTGGGCAAGGTCAGTGCCCCAGGCAGGTGAACTTGAACTTGTGCCAATGACATATATTTCCAGCAAGAGTCAGCCTGAAGCTGGGGTGTCTCCATGCTGTTTCTCGGGACTGGAGCTGAGTGGCTGGATACTGAGCAGGGAAGGAGATGTCTAGAGACTCGGTCTTATGAACCTTACTCACCCCACTTCAACAGGAAGACACTGACTGGGGGCTGATTAAATGCAGCCCTGAAGCATGGGGTATCCACAGGGGGAACAACAGTATGAAAGCATCCTAAGGGAGTGTCAGAGCTGGCCTGTGTCTAGGTCACTGGCAGACAAGGCAGGATCATGTGCATGAAGAACATTCAGGGCCCTAGGGAGACTCCGAATGAAGAACACTACAGAGCCGAACATACGTCAGCCCCTGGAGCCCTTCTCTTTGCCCACACAGATGAGAACCCAGGGAATGCTGGGGGTGTACCCAGAGCCCTTACTCTCCACAGCCACTGTTTCTGTGGGGGAACACTCGGCTGTGCATCTCAAAGCCAGAGCCACCAGCCCCTCTGAAATATGCAAAACCTTCCTGAGGTGCTGGTCTCCACTAGTCTCCTGGGCCCTAGTCAGACAGACTCACCAAATAAGGCAGCCTGCACCTCATTTGCACATGACCCCCAAATTAAAATCACAGCTCATCAGTTGAAATGATCTATTCTTAGTTCAGCTTACAGATCTGACGTGACTAACCGGCTTTCATGGTTGGTACACGCTGGTTGGATGGGAAGGGATGCTGATTGCATGCAAGGTTGGAAGAACGTTAGCTCTCCATTCCCTCTCTCAGGCCCCTCACAACCTCCATGGTTCTCCAGGGAAGAAGTCCGGGTGGATGTCCACAAACCTGGCACACTAGAATGCCCTGACCCTTTTCTTCCCTGTGAACGCCTACCCTTTAATCAAGAGTGTGTTCCTGTAATTTTTTTCTCTAATAAGGTGTCTGAATTCCTAATAATTCCCTTCTCAGGTTCTTGCTGTTCTGTAAATGGCCCAATTATGATGACTTTTCTTTCTTTTCTCTCTCTCCCTTTCTCTTTCTCCCCCACCCTTTTCCACAGTCTCTTTCTACGCAGCTTAGGCCCAGATAAGCCTCCAACTCACGACTCTCTTTCCTCAAACTCTGGAGTGCTGGAATTACAGGTAAGTACCACTATGCTCAGCTCAGAAACCATGGTTTATATTTCCTCCTCCCTACTGAACTATGAGTTCTTCAAGGTTTTCTGATACTAGAGAAGTCTGAAAAATGGTACCTATGTGTATGACCAGCTGGTAATAGACTCGTCTTCAAATGCTGAGATTCTGAGTTCTCGTTTAAAGTGCACAGCAGAAACGCCGGGAGGGGGAATGCTCAAAGTCACATCCCATGAGAGCCACAGAGACTTCTGATTTGAAATACTTGGAACTGGAGGGATGGCTCGGCGGTTAAGAGCACTGGTTGTTCTTACAGAGGACTGAGGTGGATTCCTACCACTCACATGGTAACTCACAACCATCTGGTCCCAGCAGATGCAACACCCTCTTTTGCCTTTTGTTTGTAGTGGGCACAAACACACAGTATACAGGCATGTACATAGGCAAAACACCCACACGCATGAAAATAAATAAATAATTTAAAAATCACTGCTACAAACACTAAACAGACCAAACCACACCAGGACCGGAATGAGTAAGGACAGAAAAGGCGATGAACCACAGCATGGCCACTCTTCAGCGAGGCCTGTCTGACTCCCAGCACAAAAGGAGGAAGTAATGGAGAGCCTTGCTGTTTTCTAAAGAAGGGTGGGGCAGTGAGCCATCCTCACGCAGAACACTAGCCGTTATTTTGATTCCGTGAATACTGCAGAGCAAAGGAAACATATGATCCCACTGCTGGACAAAATCCTGTGGTTTGCCAGGACAATCAGTATTCTAGAATGCAGATTCCAGAAGGAGGAGGACAAGTGAGTCCAAACAAAACCCCAAAGAACAACTGGACCACAGCAAAAGCATCATTACCACACTGACACCGGGCAACATGAACATGTCTCAGGCTCTTAAGACTTGAAGATGCCTTAAGGTTCATCTCGAGACGAAGGACCTTCACTTTCAGAGGAACACGGGATGAAACACATTTTTAAAAGCACACAGCGAAGAGAAGAAGCAGGCCTGCTCACTGGATACTGGAATACCAGCAGTGGTTTGGGCTTCTTTCAGGGTCAGGGGAATGTTCAACTGACTTGTTTTACTACATCAACAACACATGATGTCCAGAAAAATCTGTTGGCACATATATGTTCAGGGTTAGACTGAGTTTAACTGCATCAGAGCAGACACCAACCCATGAGCCTCTCACCAAAACAGCAGCCATGGCACCAGTTCAGAAGGAATTTGTGACTGACTTCTAACCGACATGTGGAGATAACGGGAATTACTTGAAATGGAGTTATAGGGATTTAGGCTTCAGATTCCTTCTGCCAAATTCAAAGACTGTGAGGAAGGGGCCATTTGGTTGACAATCTGAGGCACTAGAAAATGGACAGAAATACTCTATAAGGAAAGCGAAAGGAAAGCCTCTAAGAGGCTAGCACATCAATATGGAGCTGAACGCTGTAGTGGCAGAGGCCACTCTGCTTCTCGTTCTGCTACCAAACAAAGCTGTGGGACGTCCACTAGTCACCTTGCCACTCTGGGCCTTGGGTTTCCCATCTGTGAGCAGAAGGTGTGTTCTCTGGTGTGAACAGATGCTGAAAAGATGACACCCCTCATCTAGCAGGTAACAGCAATTAGGGCTCCCAAGGGGTGGAGCAGCACGGCCGAGACGGCCTCAACGCTGAGTTCATGCTCTTAAAAACAGCGTCCTCAGCCAATGGCAGGAAACACTGCCCCGCAGAGGGAGGTGATAAGGATGGGAAAATCGGGCCGGTGTCTGTGAAGAACCAATCCAGAGCAGTCCAATTTACAGACCTGTGCAAGAGCAGCCCATTGCAGTTGGGTTTCAGCTGCATGGCCAGCCCTCGTGGTTTGCTTTTGGGGCTTATTTACATTCGCATGCCCTGAGCCCAAGAATGGCATCTTTCAAATGATGCTCTGCAGGTAATGCTAGACGCGAAGCGGCTGCCCGGGGCTGGTTTCCTGTTAAATAACTGATTGCTGGCAGCTGTTCTTACCTCGCTCACCCTCCCTTTCTCTGCTTTGTCCTTGCTTACGGCCTCTTTATAAACGGACGGTGAGAGAAGTGATACAAGCTCTTTGTCCCTACCAGAGCGCAGTCGTGGCGAGTGGAATTGGAGACTTTCAGTCCTGGCTTTCAGTTTACAGACATGTACTCTGAAGCACAGAGAGGGGAAGGAACTTGCCCACAGTCACCCAGTAAAGTAATGGTCACCTGACAGCAAGGTCAAGAGTAATTAAATACCATATGAGCTCTCAAGCCAAACCTTCAAATACCTGGAGGAGAAAAGGTGGCTGTCACCTAACCACCAGTGTGTCCAATGTTACATGCCTGCCAGAGGCAGAAAAGGCATGGGGTGACATGTTTATCTGCCAATGTTTCCCCCTAGGTGAATTCCCATTCACCTAGGAGTTAAGCAGATATCATCCAATTCTGACAAAACAAAAGGAAAACCATCCTCATGGGCAGAAACACAATGCCCTACTCCTTGGGGTCATTCTGTGTACCGACTTCCCTCTGAGGAGTATAATATAGAAATCGGAGAGGAAGGAGTAATTCGCCCAGTACCACCCCAGCCAGGTGATCCAGATCAGCACCAATAGTGACAGCTCACGGAGATGCTGTTTATTCTCCTCGAGGTGGATGAGAAAGGCTCTGTGGTCTTCTTCTCCCAACCCCTAATTCTAGTCTAACAGAAAATGCCAATATCAGAGAATCTCACAAAGTACGAGATCAAGACCCTTCAAAATGAGCACTATCATCAAACACAGGAAAGCTCTCAGGTGACAGCCAAGAAGAACCTTTAGAGACAGAACGGCCAAGTGTGGCATGGTATCCTAGATGGGGTCTGATAGAATCTGGACCCTGGACATAAACTTGGAACATTCATTCACTAAGACATAGAATTTTCTTAGCATTCATGCTTATCCATGAATATGTGCTCATTCGTGACCGTGAACTCATTCATAACTAATATACCACTCCAGGATGATCAAGGTAATTAAGGGCAGGTTACACAAACTATTTTCTCAAGCTTTCTGTACATCTCAAGCTATCCATTTTAAAGGCTCTATTATTTAAAAATTCCACAAATCATATCACAGAATAGAGAAGAAGAACAACTTACCAGATGTTGCTGAACTGAAAATAAAAATCAAAAGGATTTTCTTTTTAAAAAAAATCCCAATCAGTGTTGCTTCAGTCCCAGACGTCCACAAGTGAAGCAGTAGCGAATAGAGACACATCGATACAGATGGTGCAGACACCAGGGACCCGCTAGACAGGGCCCTCGGTGGTCACAGTCAAAGCCACATCTGTAAACACAGTGGAAGTGAAACCAACCACATTAGGCTATTTACCCCAACTTCCTCCCTCAATATGGAGATGTGCTGTGTTCTATTTTCTATTTATCCCAACTTCCTCCCTCAGTGTGAAGATACGCTGTTTCCTATTTTCATTTAAACTTCAATTGCATGTGAACTGGGGATCATGTGCCCTTCCCTGCTGTCTTCCCACAATCAGGCAGGACTTGACCACTTTTCCTTCCCTAACAGATTTTAGCATCCTGCCACAGCACCCTTTCTCTGAGGGCGACTGCTGTCCAGACGGAGCTGGGGCAGAGAAACAAAGAGCTAGTTCCCAGATACCCGCACGTGCCTGACCGAGGGAGGTGGAGAACAGGATACCGTCAATAAAATCCAGTTTTGACACAAACAGTGCTACCCCCACATAAATTCCACCAAAAGTAAAACACTATTGGGTTCAAATAATTATTTTGAGAAATTAAACTTTAGATCTTTTTTTATTTATTTAAAATTGTATTTTGTTTTTAAGACAGGGTCTCACTATGTAGCCTAGACTGGTCTTGAACTTACAAGATTCATGTTCTTTAAAAAAAAAAACAAATGTTTTGAGTACTGTCCAGTAGAGAAGGGCAGAAAATACAAGATCCCCCTTTGTGAAGGTTGGCTACCCTGTTGATATGACTGAGGAGACATTCTTTCAACCCCCAGCTGTGGGCTATTACCCCTGGATACCAGGACAATACTCTAGGTATTACTCCAAAATGGGGTTAGAAAGTAACAAAAATCATAACGTGGGCGGGACTGAAGATAAATATTTAGAGTATTTCAAAAACTAGTTTGAACTTTTGACAGGATGGGTCCTCCCTACATAAGCAAGATTCTAAAATATCAATATGAATTTCAGAGACTTTTCCCCCTTAGGGTTTTTGTGTATTTTCTTTTTATATTTTTGCCAGTACAAATTTTAAAACAGAGAAAAATCAACATGAGTATCACCAGACCATCACTTACAAGCATACAATACGTGCTTAGCCTGCCCCCTACTGGCGATTTTCTTGTCTCCATGGCTAACTATATTTAGAAGGGCTACTAACTCTAATATAGGTTGGGAAGCTGTTAAAGGCACCTGGGTTCTTTATGACAGTTCTTTTTAAAAATTGACTTTTATTGAGCTCTACACTTTTCTCTGTTCCCCTCCCTGCCTCTCCCCTCCCCTTCAACCCTCTACCAAGGTCCCCATGCTCCCAATTTACTCAGGAGATCTTGTCTTTTTCTACTTCCCATGTAGATTAGATCTATGTATGTCTCTCTTAGGGTCCTCATTGTTGTCTAGGTTCTCTGGGATTGTGGTTTGTAGGCTGGTTTTCTTTGCTTTATGTTTAAAAACCACTTATGAATGAGTACATGTGATAATTGTCCTTCTGGATCTGGGTTACCTCATTCAAAATGATGTTTTCTAGCTCCATCCATTTGCTTGCAAAATTCAAGATGTTATTTTTCCTGCTGTGTAGTACTCTGTTGTGCAAATGTACCACATTTTCCTTATCCATCTTTGGTCGAGGGGCATTTAGGTTGTTTCCAGGTTCTGGTTAAGACAAGCAATGCTGCTATGAGCATAGTTGAGCACATGTCCTTGTGGCACGATTGAGCATCCTTTGGATATATACCCAAAAGTGGTATTATTGGGTCTTGAGGAAGGTTGTTTCCTAATTTTTTGAGAAAGCACCACACTGAGATCCAAAGGGGCTGTACCAGCTTTCATTCCCACCAGCAATGCAGGAGTGTCCCCTTTACCCCACAATCTCTCCAGCATGAGTTGTCATCAGTGTTTTTGATCTTGGCCATTCTTATAAGTGTAAGATGGAATCTCAGAGTTGTTTTGATTTGTATTTCTCTGATGACCAAGAATGTTGAGCATTTCCTTAAGTGTCTTTCACGCAATTTAGATTCCTCTGTTGAGAGTTCTCTGTTTATGTCTGTACTCCATTTTTTTTATTGGATTATTTGTTGTTTTGATGACCAATTTCTTGAGGTTTTTTTTTGTATATTTTGGATATCAGACCTCTGTCTGAAGTGGAGTTAGTTACTGGAGGAGGTGCTGTTTGTCCCGGCCGCCCAGCTAGCTTAGCCCTGAAATAACCACACAGAAACTGTATTATTTAAAACACTGTTTGGCCCATTAGCTCTAACTTCTTATTGGCTGACTCTTACAGCTTAATTTAACCCATCTCCAATAATCTGTGTATCACCACAAGGTCATGGCCTACCAGCAAAATTTCAGCACATCTCTGGCCAGCGGATCCATGGCATCTCTTTCCCCATCTTCCTTCTCCCAGCACTCAGTTCCATCTTCTCCACCTACCTAAGTTCTGCCCTATCAACAGGCCAAGGCAGTTTCTTTCATAGTAATTACATTAATGGTAAAGGCAGCACACAGAGGGGACTCCCACATCAGTTAGTGAAGATCTTTTCCCATTCTGTAGGCTGTCGTTTTGTCTTGTTGAGCATGTCCTTTTCTTTACAGAAGCTTTTCAGTTTTAGGAGGTCCCATTTATTAATTGTTTCTCTCAGTGTCTGTGCTACTGAGGTTATATTTAGGAAGTGGTCTCCTGTGCCAATACATTCAAGTGTACTTCCCACTTTCTCTTCTATAAAGTTCAGTATGGCTGGCTTTATGTTGAGGTCTTTGACCCATTTGGACTTGAGTTTTGTGCATGGTGATAGATATGGGTCTGTTTTCATTCTTCTACATGTTGATATCCAGTTATGCCAGCACCATTTATTAAATATGCTTTCGTTATTCCATTTGATTTTTTTTGCTTCTTTATCAAAAATCAGGTGTCAGAATGTGTGTGGATTAATATTCAGGTCTTCGATTTGGTTTCATTGGTTTATGACAGTTCTTAGCACCTGACACTGGACATCTGAATGCTAGGCTGGTTAGAGGTCTGGTCACCCTGCCAGGCTGAATTCCCACTGAACTCAAGGAAAGTATCAATGCCAATGAAAGAATTTGCATACAGCGTCATCACACCCTACTCCCATGACCGCTCCGCACCCCAGCCCCCATCACCACTCTGCACTGCCGTTTTGCGTCACCCTTTAACCTCAGGTTCCTTGCCAGCTACTATTACCCCATTTATCGGGTAATAAAATGACAGATTTTCTCAACCCTCACCTCTGTATTGAATATGAGCTATCCTAGTTTGGGTTCTGTTGCTGATAATGCCCTAACCAGAGCAGCTGCAGGAGGAAACAGTTCACTTGGCTTACCCTTCTAAGTCACAGTCCAACAATGAAGAAAGTCAGGGCAGGAGTTTGAGCAGGAAGTGAAGCCGAAACTATGGAGGAATGCTGCTTACTGGCTTACTCCCAGGCTCACATTCAGCTACGTGTCTTATACTTTATACAGCCAGTTCCACCTGCTCAGAGTTGGTATCAGTCAAGTGTGCTGGACCCTCCTCCATCAATTAACCACCAAGAAAATGGCCCTCATGCAATTCTGATGGAGACAATTCTTCATTGAAGTTCTCTTCCAACTATGTCATGTTGATAATGAAGACTAGCAATCACATCAACCTACAGCAACCAAGCTGAGACCATTCCTAACTGTTCTTTCTCATCGCGATCCCACAATGATCCTGATCAACTCAGTCCTCATTGTCCTTGACTCCTCAGCAGTGTCTGACCCACTGGTAACTCCCCGCTCCTTGACATTGGCTTGGCTCCTAGGTCTCCCTCACTCTCCTGGTTCTCCTCCCACCTCCTAGATGTACCCAGCCAGTTTCATTGTTGGTTACCACTCTGGTCTCTGATCTGCTAAAGGAACATCCCAAGGCTTAGACTTCAGCCTCTTCTTTTACCCTGTTTCACAACTTTAAACTTCACCAGACACCTAAAGCTCTCACTGGGATCTCAATCTATAATCTCTTTCATGGTCTGCCCTGTCACCAGGCATCCCAAATACAAGAGACCCAAAGTCAGGCTCTCTGGACACTGAAATGGATTAATTAAAATGCTGCAAGAACCCCGAGTAACTGCAGTGGCAGAAACGCTGCAGGTCCCCGAGCAGCAACAGGCAGCGGGCCATGTGGTGGCAGGCAGGGGGTAGCGGTCCCGAGAGCAGCCAATCCCAGCCAGGGACAGTGCACGAGACCACTAGAGCACGCTGCAGGTCTCTGGAGGCGGCTGGTCCCAGGCAGCGAGCCACAAGGCGGTGGCTGGCGAGAGACAGACCGATAGGCACTCCATGTAGAGTGAGGTTGGGTATTTATTTAGTGGGTTATGGAAGCTTGGAAGGGAAGGGGGAGAAGGAGAAGAGGGGAGAGAGAGAGAGAGAGAGAGAGAGAGAGAGAGAGAGAGAGAGAGAGAGAGAGAGAAGAGACAGAAGCTGTCTCTTCAAGGGAAGAACTCAGGCTGGAAGCTGACGATCAGCCTGCCTCAG